GGATTTGTCTAAGGCCACCTATTGAGTTAATGGCAGGGGTGAGATTTCATGTATTTATCCTGCTGTTCTCCTTAAAAAGGACCCAATGTGGTATACATAATTAAAAACACAATATTAAAAGCTAAAAACAGTAAATTATTCAAATGTAAAGAATTATTCATAACATATTAAAATGTTAGGTAAAGGCATAATTAAATGCAGATTTTGGAGGAACAAAATATAAACCATTTATTGTCTCCTAGACAGACGGTCACTAAGTAAAAAGCCTGCCTGAAGAGAAAAGCCTTCATCTGCTTTCAGAAGGACAGCAAAGATGGAACCAGCCTGGCCTCCTGTGGGAGGGAGTTCCAAGGTCTGGGAACAGCCGCGGAGAAGGCCCTCTCCTGTGTCCCCAACCAAGCACACCTGTGAGGGTTGTGCAACCGAGAGAAAGGCCTCCTCTGATGATCTTGCTGTGAGGGTGGTGCGACCGAAAGAAAGGCCTCTGTTGATCTTCACACTCAGGCAGGCTCATGAAGGGAGATATGGTTGTTGAGATAACTTGGACCTAAACCATTTAGGGCTTTATAGGTGAAAACCAGCACTTCGAATTGTGCCTGGAAACAGATTGGCAGCCAGTGGACCTACGTACTGTAACAGAGAGTTGTGTGTAACCAGTCCCAGTTAACAATCTGATTGCAGCATTTTCGACCTGCTGAACTTTTGAGCACTTTCCAATAGCTGCCCCACATAAAGCATATTGTAGTCATCCGACCAGGATGTAACTAAGGCATGTGTCACTGTAGTCAAGTAGGGTCTTCCTGATTTATCTTAGTAATAATTTGAACAAAAATAATCAAGGGCTGTGTTTAGTTGTAAGTGAGTTTAAGGTGGTAGTGGAGTAGAACATATATCAGAGAATGGAAGGACACATTACATGAATGCTAGAGGGGGAAGTCTATTTTCCTAGTGGAGTAGAAAATATATCAGAGAATGGAAGGACACATTACGTGAATGCTAGAGGGGGAAGTCTATTTTCCTATCTATATGTACAAATCCCTACACTATCCATCAATAATTTTTTACAAAAGGTGGAGGGGTTGTAGTGGAGCCCAGTAAGGCACAGGCTATACAAACAGAGGGCCTACAGTTGGGGGGGGGGATGAGGAGTCATAAAAAGCCCCTTAATGCCACAGTTATGAAAACAATGTGTGGCTTTTTTTTTATTAAACTAGGAAAACATTCCCTATTTATAATCCTGAAGTAGAGAGGAGGAGGAATGTTCTAAGTTCCAGGCATTCAAGCCATCTCCTGTCAGGATGGTTCAATGGCTAGAGAGGTGTCACAACTACTAAGGAAGGGGTGTTAAGACTGTACAGCATCACTGCTCTGTATGGCAGAAACACCCAGAAGTTTTGTGTGTACTGAGATGGCAACTTCAGGCCTTACTTTTGAAAAATTAGGCATTGAGGAAAGCTCAACAGGTATTGTAAATATATAAAGTGAACACAGCTACCTGTCTAAGTTTAACCCTTTGAAGTTTCATACTCACATGATGACAGCATAGAGTTTACCAGCCAGCTCCTAAGCAGGGAATTTCTTCTCACCTTGCAGTGCAAGAGATAGAGCTTGGTGTCTCTGCCATATTGTTCAAAACAAAGTTTTCCTGTTGGGGAGAGCTTGGAGAGGAAGGCTTGTATTATTCCAGCCAGGCATTGGTATCTGCACCCTGGTTAAAAATTTAAGTAGTTTTAAAGAAGCAGACATGGGAGGAGCAGCTTTGCATCAGGACAGTGTTTTGTCAGTTCGGTTCAATTTAAAATTGGGGGTTTCTGAATAAAGCTTCCATTGCCAGATAGTGAGAATATCTGTTCTATGTTGCATTGTTCTTGTGTTCTGTTGTGAATGTATAGTTCTTTGGAGTCCAGTGAAAGAAGGTTGTTATTATGTGTTGTCTAGTCACCTACAAATCATGGTGACCCTATGAATAAGTGATCTGCAAAATGTCCTGTTCTCAACAGTCTTGCTCAGATCTTGTGAACTCAAGGTTCAATTTTAAAAATTGTTTTAACACAGGCTTTCCTTCTTATAGTGTGTATTATTTTCCTTCAGCATGAGGCAGACTGACAGAGTAAAAGCACCCTTTTTGGCCATTTTTGTTGCACAGGTGTGCTTGTCCTTTCAAAATATGCTCAGCCTTCTCACCTTTCCCATCTCAACTTTCGCCCAACTCTTTATTTATTGTTTATTATTTATTTATAATTGTTTTAACACAGGCTTTCCTTCTTATAGTGTGTATTATTTTCCTTCAGCATGAGGCAGACTGACAGAGTAAAAGCACCCTTTTTGGCCATTTTTGTTGCACAGGTGTGCTTGTCCTTTCAAAATATGCTCAGCCTTCTCACCTTTCCCATCTCAACTTTCGCCCAACTCTTTATTTATTGTTTATTATTTATTTATAATATTGTATTGATTTTTTGGAGTCCAGTGAAAGAAGGTTGTTGTTATTATGTGTTGTCTAGTCACCTAACAAATCATGGTGACCCTATGAATAAGTGATCTGCAAAATGTCCTGTTCTCAACAGCCTTGCTCAGCTCTTGTGAACTCAAGCTTCAATTTTAAAAATTGTTTTAACATGGGCTTTCCTTCTTATAGTGTGTATTCTTTTCCTTCAGCATGAGGCAGACTGACATAGAGTAAATGCACCCTTTTTGGCCATTTTTGTTGCAAAGGTGTGCTTGTCCTATCAAAATATGCTCGGCCTTCTCACCTTTCCCATCTCACCTTTCGCCCAACTCCTTATTTATTGTTTATTATTTATTTATAATATTGATTACCTTTGTCTGAAGGTTAAATCCATTCAGACTCAAGTTATTGAATATTGTCAACAAAGCAGTTGTGTTTTACAGCCTCTTTAAATTAAGCTTCAGTCTAACAAGTTTCCTGAGCCTTACTGTTTGTAATTTAAAACTTGTAAAGCCGTAGGATCTCTTTAGAGCATTAAACATCTCTTCTGCAGTCTCACATTTGTCTATATAGATCATCCCTTGATTTCAAAGCCTGGCAGAAATCATTACTTCAGCTGCAGAATATTTATTTTGCCAGATAATTTTAGCTTCTCCATCTGATTCTGGTTGTCAAGTTTCTATAAAGTCATGCATTCATACAGCTCTTAAATTAATACCCAGCCTTCCATTGTGAAAAATTAATAGACGTAAGCTTTGGGAGTTTTCCAGAAAAGCTTCTACTTCTACCCATCCTTGTATTTCTGAGTAAGTTTGGTTACTTTTTTTTTTTTAAAGGAGTTTTAAAATGAGAAAAATAAACAATCTACAGCTAGTATGTGAGTTAGTCGGAGATGGAGAGAAAAAGATGGCAATACTTAGGAAATAATAAATCCTGAAAAATACTTGTACGCTATCTCTCTGAGCTATGCTATTCTGTCTGTCCATACTCTAAGCTCATAATTATTATAGATAATTGGCAATTCACTTTTGGGTAGCAGAGTATAATGCACAAAAACAACTGCAGAGAGAAAGAGAATTGCTCAAGTCTCAACACCACCAATCACTCTATAAGCATTTTAAGCAGAAAAAGAAAATGTATCTTTACGTATAGTTGTGACCAACAGTATCAAAGAGAAGAATAAAAGGAAAGTTGCAGTTTCCACATGCAGGAAACTGCCCCCATGACCACATGGTCAAAAAGGGTCAGAGTAAGAGAAAAAAAACAAAGGAAGCAGGACAAACAGGAGGAGGGCCAGAAGAGTGGAGGGTTGCCTCAAATGCCAGAGGTGGGATAAAAAACTCTGCTAATTGGTTAGTGGCAAAAAAGAGACAGTCACTTTAGCTTGTGAATGCTCCTTCCCATTAATACCCAGTGCCAGTTGCATGCAAGGTTGTTATTATCCCAACAGTACCTGCTTAGCAAGATAGGCATTCTAACCTGCCTGCCAACATTTGACTGTTGTGCTTGTTCCACCTCTCCCCTGGTCTCTTAATGCTTACCTTAGTCTTGAACTGTGATGTTTCAGGGATCTTGGCTCCAAAGTGGTACAGATATCCCTTTAGTGACCAGTGGGAGCTTGGAAGTATTCCGTCTCAGACATTCCCACTTAGTTTTGAACTGCAATCTTTGCAGTGTGTATGTGCATGTCTTCTCTTAGGAGGTGTTGAAATCAGGGTCCTATGGAGCATGTGTTCATTTATTCATGGAAATCCACAAATCCACTGACCATTCCCTTTCTAATGAATAATGACAACTAGAAAAATAAACAAAATCCTGCATGGATACGAAATCGCTAGCCTCCTAAGCATGTTTGTGCATGCCTGCCTTGCAGTATTCACCGTAAGGATCTCCTGCTTGTTTCTGTTGCCTAGGTTTATCTCTTCTGTTGGGAATGGGTGGCCATAATTTTCTATCCTGGTGGAGAGGATTTAAGCCAGGAGCCTCCTAAGCATATCTACCTGCCTTAATGAATAGCACCACAGGAAATCATCGTCTGCATTTCTTGCACATTGGCAGTGTGGGAGCATAAAGTACGTACATGTCTCTGGGTTGGCTCTCTCTGCAGCCATTTGACACCAGCATCGCCCCTGACTGGTGGGGACAAGTTTAAAGGGATATAATGGGACACATCCATTGTTTTCTCACCATTTATGTGATTTTCTGCCAGCATTCATTGGTATATATTTTTTAAAAATATTAGTTTGCTGAATATCCTGTTTTTCCTCCAGGGAATAATACTGTGAGGTGGATCAGGCTAGAACATTGTGGTTGGCCCAGGGTTGCCCAGTGAGTTTCATGGCTTATTGAGGATCTGACTCCAAGGCTACTGAGTCATAGTTCAATACACCAATCATTATACAGTGCTACCACTATCATTTGAGTCTAGATGATGATTTACCGGTACACTGGGAATGGTGTACTGGTCCTTCCATAAAGCATGAGTTTATTCTGTTAGCTGTTAGAGAAAGAGGATATGGAATAATGTTAGAATGAAAAGAGAAGACAACAATCATGTAGGACAGGGAATGCCTTTATTCACAAGCCCATAACATTTTTGGACGGCTTGGGCCAATGAAATGTTTTGAAATTCAGATCAGTTCTTGTAGGGCACACAATGTACTGTATCTGAATATACAATGCTACATAGATCAACTGATCATACTAGAACTTGAATCTTGTTAAATAGCTTTAAATTCCCTGTAAGAGCAGCACCATTGTGACATTTTTCTTTAGTATTCCTCTCCTTCCTCCTCACCCTCTCCTTCAACAGAATCTACACCAACTTCCTCATAATCCTTCTCCAGGGCAGCCATGTCTTCCCGAGCCTCGGAGAACTCGCCCTCCTCCATCCCTTCCCCGACGTACCAGTGGACAAAGGCACGCTTGGCATACATCAGGTCAAACTTGTGGTCCAGGCGAGCCCAGGCCTCTGCAATGGCGGTGGTGTTGCTCAGCATACACACGGCACGCTGCACTTTGGCCAGGTCGCCTCCGGGGACCACCGTGGGGGGTTGGTAGTTGATGCCAACCTTGAAACCAGTGGGGCACCAGTCCACAAACTGGATGCTACGCTTGGTCTTGATGGTGGCAATAGCAGCATTGACATCTTTGGGAACGACATCCCCACGGTACAACAGGCAGCAGGCCATGTATTTACCGTGGCGAGGGTCACATTTCACCATCTGGTTGGCCGGCTCAAAGCAAGCGTTGGTGATCTCAGCGACAGAAAGCTGTTCATGGTAAGCTTTCTCAGCCGAGATGACGGGGGCGTAAGTGGCCAGAGGGAAATGGATACGGGGATAGGGCACCAAGTTGGTCTGGAACTCTGTCAGATCTACATTCAGGGCACCATCAAATCGCAGGGAAGCAGTGATGGAGGACACGATCTGACCTATCAGCCTGTTCAAGTTGGTGTAGGTGGGGCGCTCAATGTCAAGGTTCCTGCGGCAGATGTCATAGATGGCCTCGTTGTCTACCATGAAGGCGCAGTCGGAGTGCTCCAGAGTGGTGTGGGTGGTCAGGATGGAGTTGTAGGGCTCGACTACTGCGGTGGAGACTTGGGGGGCTGGGTAGATGGAGAACTCCAGCTTGGACTTCTTGCCATAGTCAACGGAGAGGCGCTCCATCAGCAAGGAAGTAAAACCAGAGCCGGTGCCACCTCCAAAGCTGTGGAAGACCAGAAAGCCCTGGAGACCTGTGCACTGGTCAGCCTGTTGGAATAAATTAGCATTAATTTATATGTTTCAGTTCACAAACCTATACAGTGGACCCTTGACTTACAGACTTTTTGAGTTACAGACTTCTCTGGCCGCAAAATTTAGGTTTGACTTGCAGACTGAGATTTGACTTACAGACCAGAAAAAAACCAAAATGGAACAAAAATGGCCTGTTACGGGATTAATCGGTTTTCAATGCACTGTAGGTCAATGGAGACTTGATTTACAGACTTTTTGACTTGAGAACCGCCTTCCAATACGGATTAAGGTCTCAAGTCAAGACCCCACTGTAAAACAGGATAGAGCAACCTATGGCTCTCCTGTTGGACTGCAACCCCCATGAAGTTTAGCCTAAATTTTGCTTATGATTGGAGGTGAATACAACAACATTTGGAGTGCCACAAGTTGTTCTTTCCTCAATTAACCATTATGGGGGAGAGGCCTCTTTATTGCATTTCAAGATCAGCATCTTTTGTTTAAAAAAACACACAGTGTATACATACCAATCAGGAGTTATGTGGGACTTTGCAATCACTCTACACCACATCTGTAACAGTGAATGTATTTTTGCCTTTTTCTGACTAATACAGTAGTCGATAATAAACATTTTATTTTACTATGGAACGTCTCAGTCTGGTAATATTCAATATAGCTACAGTAGTTACTGGTACTTGTTTTCTTGTTCTGCCAATAATTCTTCAGACAAATAGTATTTACCAGCTTCCTGATCCTGTCAAGGACCAAATCAATGATCTCTTTGCCAATGGTGTAGTGGCCCCTGGCATAATTGTTTGCAGCATCTTCCTTGCCGGTGATCAGTTGCTCTGGATGAAAAAGCTGGCGGTAGGTTCCAGTGCGGACTTCATCTGTGGAGAGTTAAAACAAATAACTGGAATTAGGTGATTATATAAAGAATATAAGTGAAAACAAGGCAGCAATTCCTTCTGTGTTTTATTGGACAAGACTACATTACTATCTTCAATCAGCTGGTGTGTATACCTGCTATTCTGATACTTATGTTTAGATGTTTAGGTGGAGCTTGTGAAATGCAAATTTTTTAAATTAAACTGCGGGTTTAACATTCTGTTAGGAGATTTATTATACAGGTTTCTAGGAGTCTGTGCAGAGGGTAAATTGAGGAGGAAAAATGGCATATATATTGCATTGAGCTCATTAGTACAAAGGTACTAATACTCTATTATGAGTAAAACACTTCATAACAAGATAATTTCTTGGAGTTCATTAATCTTTAGTCCAGGTTATTGTCCTCCTTGTGTGTTACACTGCAGTTCCCATCATTCTCAGGAAACATGCAGGGGGATCTGGAATTTTACTCTGACAGATAAAGAGAACAGAAGGTGAGAGAAAACTGTTTTTCTCCCTTGGGGAATGTTTACACTCACCAATGACTGTTGGTTCTAGATCCACAAAGACAGCCCTGGGGACGTGCTTGCCGGCTCCCGTCTCACTGAAGAAGGTGTTGAAGGAGTCGTCGCCTCCCCCGATGGTCTTGTCACTGGGCATCTGCCCATCGGGCTGGATACCATGTTCAAGGCAGTACAGCTCCCAGCAGGCATTGCCAATCTGGACACCGGCTTGGCCGACGTGGATGGAGATGCACTCACGCTAAAGAGGGGTTGGGGAGGAACAGTTGCATTTTATTAACCAGGTTTCAGTTTTAGTGTGTTGTTTTAAAAAACCTTGCTATTTTTGGTTAAAGAAAAAGACTAGAGTGCTACATGCTATGCCATTACAGCAGTCCTTTTATTTGGTTAAGATAATAAGAATTAAGGTTTTTTAATGTCAGTGCTGGATGTCCACAGGGTGAAAAACACAGATAAACAAGGCTAAGGTTTTTTTTAACTATATGTAACATCTACTAGTTAATTGTTAAAAAAATTATACTAATCAAATTGATATTAAATGGGGGAAAAAACAGAAGTGTGGAAATAACCTAGACGAGTGAAGTAAGCTCATGTTACTAAGATACTACAATGGCGGCAGCACACCTTTGAGAGTGTGCTGGGGTGCCACACCCACCTATTGTTCCTGAATACTATAAAGATACATTCTGGGCATTCAAATCTCCTTTTGGTCTGGTGCTGAATCGAAGACAAAATATTGTTCACAAATGCCCAGCCTCACAAGACACATCACAGGCCAGGTTTTCTGAGGATCCAAATCTTGTCAACCCTTAACCTCAAGGTTAACCTTTTCCTCCCCACTTTGAAGGCTAAGTGTTCTCATGTGCAAGTACTTTCATTTTGTGTATTTTTGTTTTTGTTTTATGGAACATGTTGTCAACTGATGAGAAATAGCTCAGTCTAAGGCATCAGGGACACACCCAGTCCAGGCTCATTGAGTATGCTCTAGTAACCACACCCTGACTAATTATTCGACCATTATTTTGCTGAAGATCACACTGCTTGTGTTTGCGATCTGCAATGGATTAACAGAGCTGGGTCTATTTCCAGCATGATCTCATTATGTTGTTTTGCCAGTTTTCCCTCCTCTGACCTCAGCTCGGCTACAGCCAGGCTTGGGAATGAAACAAATCAATGGGGAAGTTGGATGAGAAGACAGTTCTTCTGCATCACTTGCCAAGAAAGAATGGCTGTTAAGTGGTGCAGGGTGTTGGGAGAGAGGCTGTCCCTTGCCCATTCTTTGCACACAAGGGCCAATGCCTTAAACCAAACTAAACAAACACAAACCGCAGAAGAGTTGAAAATAAGAAGACCCCATCCCTTTTTAATGTACTATTTAAAAAGCAGAAGCCTTCCACTCCATAGAGCGCATAAATTAAAGTTAAGTGTCTGGAAAGGCACTTGTTAGAGCAGAAACCAAGACAGTTGGGCTGCAGCATTGTCTCCCCATAATTATTCCGGTCACATCGGCTTGAGGAGCCACCTTCTTTGTCTGCTCTGTCAGCCCTCGCCTTCTGCCTCCTATTCATTGACAGACAAATCTGCTTCAGGGCATGTGGGCTGGAAGCGGGCGGGCGAGGGGCGGGCGAGGGGGGCGGAATCTCCCACTGCAGCCCTACCGGAGAGATACCCACTCGTTCCTCTCCTACCCCCCACGACCTCCTCTCTGCCCAGATTCCTTTCATAACGCTGCTCTTTATGCCGGCTCTCTTGTTGGAGGAGCGAGGCAAGGGCGGGCGTGGCTTCCCCGGCAGCCAAGGCGATCGCAGCCCCCAACCCGGTCACAAGGCATCGGCGGAGCTGAGAAAGTCCTCGCACTGCCTGTGATTTCTTTTAACAGTGGAATATCCCGGGCATGGGAATGAGTGTGTGTGTGTGGGGGGGTCGCGTGGAGGTTCCTCCCAGGGAGCTGCGTCAAGGAAGCCTCCGCCGCGAGGTGGGACGCAGGGCTTTCGAAAGACCCGTCCCACACTCACTCATCGCGCTACCCTCGCGGGTCTCTGCTAACTTTTATTATGATGATGATTATCCATCCACACACCCTCCCCTCTCTCTGGATGCATCCGGTCGCCGCAGTCAGCAACCGCACCCCATACAGATACATATAAATATTTTAACAGCACTGCCCCCCAAAGGCTCCCCGGGGTTTCTCACACACTTCTTAAAAGGTGGCAGAAAAAAGGAAGGAAAAAAGAAGCCTGACCCAAATATTGATCTCTTTCTAAATAAGAGGCTTTGGATTTTTAAAAGCAGTGAGACCCCAGGGCAGCCCTCTTCCCTCGGGAGGCAAATCCTCCGGTTTCAATTAGACTTTGCTTCCGAATAAATGTACTTAGGAGAGAATTGCAGATGGCGCTCCCCCCCTTCCTCCTCCTCCTCCTCCTCCTCCCAGCTCGGATTAAAGCACCGCTCGCGGCTGGTCCTGCCGCTTCCCGCTGGCATCGCCGCCCTCTCCCTCCGCCCCCCTCCCACCCCCGCTCGGCCCATCCGCAGCTGGGGAAGCTTGGAGGCGGCCGAGGCGGAGGCGGGCGGGCAGGCAGGGTTAGGGAGGGAGG